CAGCTGTACTCCAAGGATTATATCCATTCTGTGACACCTAACTGTCCAGGGACCTTGTAGGGGTTTCTTCATTCTAATTTGTGTGGCTTCAAAACAAGGGGAAAAAAATACATTACTCAGTTTGTGTATGAGTTCTGTCTTCGGAGCTGATGGTGGTTGATTAGATCATAGGAATGGGATTTACATTTATGCCAACAGCTCATGAAGTCCATCCTTTCATTAAACACTGGTGGAGAGCTGGTTCTGAGACAATAAATGCACCAGGATGATGCTGGATTTTAGTAAAAAAGCAGTATTGCTCAGAAACAACTGTGAGTGGCCCTGCTGGAGCTGAACACACTGTTGTGTAGGGAACCAGCACAGACAGCAGACCATGGATGGTGTCCTCTGTGACTGTCCTGCACTGCAAGACACAATGTCACTGGAATAACCCCAGGGAGGAATGTGTCTTATATAAGATCTGTTGAAGTCCCTAGGTAATTTGCAGCCATAGCATTTGTACTATTATTTACTCAGGTTATTGATCTTTTAAGTCCGGTAGTTGTATCTGGCCATGACAGACACAAGCGTCTTTATAGGCAGACAAGATAATGTAATGAAAGCCATAATACCAGCAGACAGTGGTAAAATAATGTGGGGAAAGGTGAGGGAGAGGAAGGGGTGATTTTAGTTCTTTGTCTTCCAATAATCACTGCACAGCTTGACATCTGATTTCTTTTACCTAATCTCAGCATGCATCTCAAAAATGCTACTGGCCATCAGATTATCCCAGCAGATCATTAAATTTTCCTATCCTCTGGACTTAGGTATGCTGTGGAACTATCCAAGGATAATGAGCATCCTGCTGTTGCACTCACCTGGTTGGGGTCGATGCGTTTTATGAAAGCTCCCCACATATTCTCTTTAATGAGTGAGTCCTTTCTATTTATAGGGGAATATTCTAAGGGGAAAAGGAATAATATGACCTTTAGGGGGTTTTTATGCAACCTTTAGGTTTTTTGATGAGAAACATATTCTTCAGATAAATTCCTAGTTATCAACAGGAACATGTGAACAGCAATATGTGATCCAAAAGCCATGTACAATTAAGTTTGTTTATATGTATTGCTATTCTCCTTCCATGAATGCTATACAGTTGGGGTCAGAGATAAAGCTTGCAGCTGCAATTACCCAAACAGCTGGATTGATTGAATTCATGGGCTAAACCATTACTGCTTCTAGTGGCAAACTCAACATGGGATATAGCAGCACTAATGTTGTTTACTAACTCGAGGAAAGAAAATAAGTTTATCTGATCACAGATAAACTTACCTCCTCAGATAAACATTTAAATAAAAAAACTGTCTCCTTCAAAAATGCATACCCTTAGTTCCCTGATGGCAGCTCTTCCTTATGTGTTAGTGTCCTTCCATTGCTCTCCTATTCATATTCTCTCATCTAATTCCCACAAGTGGTTCCTTCTGCTCAAATAACAAGGCTCCAGATTGGTAGAATAGACTTGGGTAGTACACTGGGGCTGAAAACTTAAATGCTCAATTTCAGAAATTTGTGGCTTGCATTGTAAAGTCAGTAAGACTGTGATAGGACCAGCTACTGGTGTAATGCCGCTTATCTTCCTCTTCCCATCACACAGATCATGTACTAAGATTGTCCCGAGCAGCATTAACATGGGTACTCAGCTGCCATCCGGGGTGGAGGGGAGAGTAACTTAATGCCCATGTTAGACTTTCTCACCCAGAGCTAATGCAGCCATTTCAGTACAGTCCCTGATGACCTAATCACAATCGGTACTGACTCTGAAATTATAAAGGTGCTCATATGATCACTGTGACTGCAGATTCTGAATGGGTGCAAGACGTTAGGATATTTCTCCTGCCTCAGCATGAATGAGATTAGGTACTGGTGTGTTCCCTTTGTTTAAGAAATGCGGAGTGAACATCGAGTGACTGGCAAAAGGCTATAAATTAAATTTTTCAAAGAAGAGGCAGGAATCGAAGGGAAAGATCTCAGACCTGTTAAGGTCAGCTTTGCTTTCATGGAGGCAGAGAAAATGTGCTACAGTGAATGTGAGAGTTAGAAAAGAGTTATTGCTGAGTTAAAAAGAACTAATAACTATATGTGTAACAAAGCCTCCATTCATGGGTAAGGCTTTGAAACACCTTCAGTGGTAACCATCGCCATAATTTTGAATTAAGTCCAGATACACTAAAACTAAATCAACAACTGAGTTTTCCCAAAATCCACGGTACTCAGATCTATGGTTGATGATGAGCCACAGTTTTTGTCTGAACAGCTTTAATAGTAATTAATAAATTTACTCTAATAAAAATCTTGCTGGCAAAAAGCCCTTAAAGATGACATTATTTACATAATTTCCTGCAACAAACAGCTGCATAGCCCTCCACTCCGGTCGTAACTTCTCAGTTGTAGTACTCCTGCACCCAAACATTCGCAAATCTTAAGGCACCTTCTGGCATTTATGATACAAAGGAGATTATGGAAGAGGTCCATTTCACAAGGGTGATTTGAAAACCAATGGTATAACTGGGGTCCAGATCCTGCTGTCAGATCCATATTGGTGACCACTGGGATGCATTGCAGAATGGGACTCATATTTACTGATAGCTTTTAATTAGTCTGCATAATTCATTTCCACATCTGTTTTCCTATAAACACACCACTAATTAGTTCAGTGAGTCAGGCAAAAAGTGTACCAATGTGCCAGATAGTTTAAAGAGACACTGAAAACATTTGAAACACAGTCCATTTAATTTTAATTATTTTTTTAAAAGGAAAGCGTGAAACACTCTTACCCATTTTTAATCCCCTTCTTCTGAATTCCTCTGCTAATTTCAGAATGCATAGTTGCAAAATTGTGACTGTGTCAAAGATGTGTGTTTCCAGAGAAAATCCACTCTGGCTTAAGACTTCTGGTATATTCTACTGCTTAGCTTTACTGAAGTGGGTAGCTCTGGAAGCACTGCTAGAACTTCTAAAGCTTGATCACTCACCTGAAAAAGCCAAGTTAATAACAGAATTTTCTCAGTACTCCAGCCTCCTGGCCTAATACAGGTTTTAGTTTCTGGGCCAGAGTCTCATATAAGATTGGTATAGAGAAGAATGAGATGTTTTTGACTAGGATAAGAAAACATGAATGGGAGAGCCTTTGTCCCCCCATCCACTGAGGGAAATGAGCAGATCTCCCTACCTTCAAAAAATGAGCCTTACAGACACAATGTTGTGTGTGCCCTTACATAAACCTCTCTTGGCTGATTCATTCAATACCTCGATCAGAACCTGTGTAAGGGAAAGAAGACACCTCATGTAGGTGCGTTAGCCTTGGACCGACTGCTACCCCTAGTTTCCAGAATTTCATTGTGCTCAGACATGGGTGTGGAGCTATGTGTCAGGTCATTGCATGAGCAAAGATGAAACCTCGGCTTGTGCAGATGTGTTTGAAGTAAAAAAATAAACACTTGTAGAGCTTATTAGGCTTTTAAGTTCCTCCTAAGTCTTAGTTTTGTCTGTCTAATTCCTTTATTGACTTCAGCTGAAAGCCTCGGTACTAGGCACCTATCCTTCCTGTTTAACCTTGTGTCACTTGTGTCACTTGCAACAACAGAAAGTGAAATAATTAGGTCAATTTTTGAATGTGGACTTTTGCTTTCCAAGCTGACTACTCGTTTAGAGCTAAGATGTCCCCCTGACACCTCTCTGATGCAGTTAGTGCCTAATAGCTAAGCACGATGGCTTTCCTCCACTCTGCTTACTTTTTAAAATGAGGCTTACAGCATGCCAGCAATTTAAACTTCCGCTGTCCATTGTCAAGTCAGGATGGTTTTGGTGAACAGTTTATTTCTTCTGATTATTCTTTGCCACTGTGAGGGATTATGGCTGAGGACCAGAGGCTTTCCCCCCACAAAGACTTGATCCAAACACACTCTCCTTACAGATTACAGCGGAATCGCTAATGCAATTTTGGCCTGACTTTGATGCAGTACTCTATTGATGTGGGGTGACGCCGCAACAAAGCAGCAAGGTTAGACCTCAGCAGTGATTAAGCTGGAGTCCCTGAGCGGAGGTGTGCCTCCCCCCGCCCATACGGCTGCGGGGAGGTGCGGAGAGGTGAGAAGCAGCGTGGGGCGCGGGGCCGGCTCCGAGCGCTCCGGCCGCCGACGCGCAGCCTGTCAGGGGTAGGGCAGGATGTTTGTTCAGCTCTGGTGTCGTGTACGCCCCTCGGGAAGATAATCCCGTTCAGCTGCTGAGCAGTCGGGTAATCAATCAGTCAATCACTCATGAAATCTGGTTTTGGCAAGCATCATCCTCGCTAGCCGGGAGGTGGGTGCAGACCAGGGGTCTGCGGGTCTGGTCCGCTACCTCGGGGCCCGCCTTCCTCTTTGGATCGAGGGCACTAACGGGAGCTCCCCCCGACTCTGCTGGGACCACCTCCGCTCGCCTTCCGGGAGGGCTAGGCAGGGAGACACTGAACCAGCCGCGATAAGAGAGTGAATAGAGCATCAGTCCGAGATCGTCCCCGCTCCCTGGGCGTAATGCTGAGCCGCGGGAGCGGGGCTGGGTCTCTTCGGGCTGTGTCGGCACTGTATATGCCAGGATATACATGTATATTTTATGCCTGTGCATATAACATATGCATTCACAAACGGACAAACATCTGAGCCGGGGGATCTTTAAAACGTTCCAGCCACAGCGGTACCCAAAGGAGGGGGGAGAGGAAAAATAAAAAGACGGGGGGAGGGAAAAAAGAGAAGATTTTAATTGGGTTTTTTTTCTTTTTTTTTTTTTTTTTTTTTTTTTTCCCAGGCTTCTGACTTACTCCGTGACTCTGATGCTTATCAACAACGCGTGAAGATTGCAGTAAGGATCCTCCCTGGAAGGCGAGGAGGAGTGACTTGCAGGGGGCTGGGAGGAGGTGGAGTGCAGCGCGGCTCTCGCCTATAAGGAGGTGCCCAGCGCTCGGCTGTCGCTTCCCACCCAGCCGCCGCTCGCAAGGTGAATCGCCGCGGCGGCAGCCGGGGCAGGGAGCTCGGCTCAGGCGCTGCCGCCCGCGTCCGGAGCGGCTCCTCCAAGGGCCGCGGAGGAGGATCCCTCGGCCTCCCCCGGCTTCCCTTCACCCGGAGTGTTTGGATGCTGTATGGAGTAAATGAGCGGTGGGAGAGAGAGAGCACAGAGGCTGAGGGGCGCTCGGAGATCGGGACCAGGGGAGACAGGCGAGCGGCTGGCTTCCCCCTGCGGGGCTGAACATGGATTCCCGAGCTCTCGGGGGCTTCACTTTGCTGCTCTTCAGTTTATGGCACCTGGGATTAACTGCAACAAATTGTGAGTAGTGGGAGTGCAAGGAGTTGCCTGGGGTTGGGGCGGGGAGGGGAGGAAGGGATGGGGGAAAACTCTGGAAAAGAGGGTTATTTATTGCACCATGACCTCTAAGAAACTTAGCTCGGCTCTGCTTTGCTGATGGAGCTCAGAAATGCAAAGTTGGTGCCAGACGAAGGGATTGCTCTCCACCGTCCTGCCGGTGTGGACGTGGGAGTAACCGGGAGCCGCCTGAGCCTGCGAGGAGCTGCTCGCGGGTTTTCCCGCACTGTTTGCTGTCCTTCCGCTGGCCGCATCTTTTTGCGGTCAGTGTGGCCGCCGTTCACCCTGCCTCGGCTGCGGGCCACTGTCCGGGACGGAGCCGGGGCTGGAGTCGCACCTCTGCCTGGAGGGTCGGGTCGGTCCTTCTCTTAAGGTCTGCTATTTCGCGGGAGCAGTCTGGCTCCAGCCTGGCAGAGCAGCGCCGGTGGCACCGAGCGTCTTCCCCTGGCCCCGTGGCGCCGTCTGTTATCCCGGGCGCTCCCCAAAGGCACGGCTGGGTCCCGAGGTGTGCCCCCAGCATATTCTGCGTGGGAAATCGCTTCTCGCTCCCTCTTCCTCGGGAGAGCGCCTCGTAAGTTTGCCCACGTATCGCTGCCGGCCCTGCGGGGGTCGCTCCCCGCAGGCAGGAGCATCCCTCGCCGCCGGGCTTTGCGGTGCCGCGGCGGCTCTACGGGCGCTTGGGTGAGCGCGGTGTACCCGGGTGCCTGTGGTGCTGGAGAGCCCTGGAGCCAGAGGAGAAGGAGGGGGTGCTCCGTGACCTGCGCCCCGGGGATGCGCCGGGGGGAATGCCGCCGGGGGCGAGAGGGGGCTCCCGAGCGCGGCCCCCTTGGCCGCCCGCGGCCCGTCGGGCGGAGCGGGCGGGGGCCCCGGCGGGGCGCGGCGGGCGGCGAGAGGGCCTGTTGCCCCGCCGGCCGGCGCGGGGCCCGCCCCGTCCTGGTGGCCCGGCCCGGGGTGAGCCCCGCGGGCACGCCGGCCTCCCATCCTCATCCTCGCCATCCCTCTCCTGCCACTCCACCGCTGACCGGTTTTTGGGGCTTCGGGCTTTCTTTTTTTTTTTTTTTTTTTTCCCCCCCCTCCCCTCCTTCCCTGTCTTTTTTGAATTCTCAGTCAATTAAATTATGGTTAATATGTTTTAATAATGTTCGTGAATACTAAACGGCAGGCGATTTGAGGCTGAGGCTTGCTGCTCGTTACTGATGCGGCCATAAAGTTAATTCCTAACACTTAAAAAGAAAGTCCGCATTAATGAGTTTTACTATTTCACGAGGGACAGTTTAATTTCCCAGTGCCAATAAACATTTCCCTTGAATACACACTGCTTCCTAAATGTTTAGGAGTCAATGTTTTTAAAGCATGATGATCAATGTTTTTATTATACTGTACAGATTTTACTTATTCATTGAGCAATGAATTAGCATGGAATCAGCTGTAAGTGCTTTCCCAGGAGCTGAGTGAAGGAGCCTGTGAATCTGTAATAGCTGCAAGTTCCCTAGAAACCTCGTTAGATTTGCATGTGAAGATCTCTGTGTGCTTGCATGGACCTCAATAATTGCATCCAGTATGAAAATTCATCACCTTATTAAATAAATCATCTCCGTATGGTGGAGCTCAGGGAAGCAGTGCTGTCTTTCTCAGTTTGAGGCCAAGAAAGTTATATATGGGCTAAAATACTGAAGCAGTATCCTGAAGTATATATAAATAGCTGCATGAAAATGCCATTGCTTTAAAGGGTTACTGAACTTCCAGGTACCCAGTAAACTTTCCAAAAGAAATAACTAAATTCCGTAAATGGGAAGATTCAGCGCAGGCCACTGTCAGGAGCTTCTATTTGAAAGTCAAAGTGCAATGGCCAAAGGAGTTGCGTTTGGATGCCAATACTGGTATGTTCACGATGGCTTCAACAGGTTTGTTTCTGACAGATTTTGTGAACAAGAAGAGACCTAGGGACAGTATTTACAATGGAAAAGGATTATGAAACTTATTTAGTTTTCTTCCTAATATCTAGCATGGAATTAGTCTAATTTGGTTTTTTCATTGCTTCTAAATTAGACAACTCTTAAAAATTATTCTCCTACCACCTATTTAGTTTCTGTAAAATAAAAATCCTGAGTAGGTCAAAATCTTCCCTGCCACTGAGGTATTTGATTCCAATTTCCTCTTTGGTAATAGTTTTTAATTAAAGAAAGATTTTCTAAAGAAACTGCTTTGAAACACAGCTACTGGCTAGAGGTCAGCAGACATCATTAGAAAGACTGAAATTGCCAAATGCTAATAAAACATAAGAAATTCCTCCCACTTTGCTTTTTGCAATATTTTATTAAATTAGGTAAATAGAGTAGTGATAGGATTTCTCCCCAGGATACTAATTACTAGAAAATTAATAAATAGCCATGTACATAACACTGGAAATGTGTTGCATGCGACATCTGGGGGAATGAAAGCTTCTACATTTATCAGGTAGAAAAGGAGACACAAAGCCTTGCCTGCTATGTGACAAATTAGTTGCCCTTTAGCAGCATATTCTGTGATCTGAAAATGTTAGTAGCTTTAGTAAGTCTATATTTACAGTTGTTGAGCACTGGTTTTTTTCCATTTTTAAAGTTGGAAGGAGGGAGAAATAATAAAAAAAATGAAAAGAAAGAGACATTAATTCATGTTTTTCTCAACCACTTTGCTTGATCAGTTCAGGGCTAGTCTGCAGCTGCAGAAAAGAATTGCAGGAGCCATTAGTGACCTTCCACCTGATTTGATGTTGCATATCTTTAAAATTTTACCTACTGCTATTTTACACCTTATGCCTTTCTCCCCCCTACTTATATTTTTCTTGACTGGTTTTTCACATGTGGCCAGGAAGATATAGCAGATTAAAATACTTCCTGGTGAAGTGGCATCTTCTAACTCCCATTGCAAAAGTTATTCTCAGAAATTATTGCACGTATCTGTTCCAGAACCCAGCCTCTCTTCTTCCCACAGAATCACTAGCATTTATTATTCCACTTCACTAGCACTTTTTAACTGATCCTGAGGCTTTTAACCCTTTTACTTAAACACAGTCATAACTGTCAGTCAAAGCAGCAGAAATTCAGTGTATGGTAGAATCAGACGTCCTATTAAAGTCCTTACTGAAATATATGGTCAATGTGCAGTCTGCTACTCCACAGTAGATTTAGATGTGGCCTTACAGGATACATCTGTCTTTAATAACTCTGTTCAGTTAAAAGATAGGCAGTGTGTGTTTGTATTTTTATCTATTGGGAAATAGAAAAAAAGACCTGAAGAAATTATACATTTTCTTGGACAAGGAAACTTTTTTTTAGGCAACAAGGGTGTTCACTCTGATTTTAGCCTTCCTTTGTAGGGATAGTAATTGTACCGGAGTCAGACAAGTGTAAGTGAAAACTTACAGGAGAAAATTTGACTCTGGATACTTGAGGCCATCAAGATCAGGAGGTATATTTGGGATTTGTAACAGCACAAATGAGACCTGTCAGGTCAACTGTGGTAGAGGCACGAGGTCTCTTAAACAGTGACCTTTCTATCTGTGTGGTCAGAAATGCTAAGTTTTAAAGAGATCTGCTGAAATAGGTAGAATATTGATCATCTGATCTCAGTTTGTGGCTCATATACTTGCAGGCTCAGTGAAGAGGATCTGACACATATCTCTGGCTTTTCCTCTGGCTGCAGTACTTAAATATCACAGAATGACAGAATATGCCAAGTTAAAAGGGACCCACAAGGGTTACTGAAGTCTGACTCCTAACCCTAGACAGGACCATCCCCAAGAGTCACACCATGTGCCTGAGAGGGTTGTCCAAATGATGCTTGAACTCTGCCAGGCTTGGTACTGTGACCACTTCCCTGGGGAGCCTGTTCCAGTGCCCAACCACCCTCTGGGTGAAAAGCTTTTTCTAATATCCAACCTAAACCTCCCCTGACACAACTTCAGTCCATTCCCTCAGGTCCTGTCACTGGTCACCCCAGAGAAATGATCAGTGCCTTTCCCTCCTCTTCCCCTCACAAGGAAGTTGTAACTGCAATGAGGTCTCCCCTCGGTCTCCTCCAGGCTGAATAGACCAAGTGCTCTCAGCCGGTCCTCACACGGCTTCCTGTCAAGGCCCTTCACCATCAAATATTCTTTACAAGAGAATAGTATTCAGGCATACTTTCCCCCTGTTAGTTTCATATCGGGAGAAAAACATATACAAATGTTACTTTTTCATGCCTTCAGATGTATCAATGAAGAAATGGTATAAAATAATGAGATTTCCTGAGAAAGGCTGTGAATGTCCCACTGCTGATCAGAGCCTTTCTTGCATGACTGTCACTATCCAGCTTTCAATCAGTTTGACTCAACTAGCACTCCTTGGCTTTGAATCAGTCTAAAAGATGGTCTTTCCAAGGACTACAATGATCTTTGGATTCTGCATGCACTAGGCAGATGGCATCACCAGCCCACAGGAATCTATCCAGGGTTATTATCGTGGTATCAAATACATTGTCTGCTTGGACATTTTTCTTTTCTTTTTTTGCTCTTAATTTCATGCAAATGCAGCAGGTTTTTCCTTATAAATTAACAGCAAGAACAAATTGTTTTCAAATGTGCTTGGTACATCTGTACGAAGTATAGACTTCAAGTGGAAAATATGGTGATTGGGTAGAACAACATACTTGTGAAGCTCTCCCAGCACATGGCATGTGCAGACTTCTGCCAGCACTCCAGTCAGTGTAGGACTAGTGATGGTTTTTTAATCACTGTAATCATTCTCTTACCAATGGGAAACTGAGGCAGTGTATATAAGCAAGAGACAAACATTCAATCAATGTGAGAATCTAAGAATCTAGAATCCTTAGGGGTCAGTTGAGTTGATCCCACGTGGTGCAGTCATGTCCTGTTCTCTGTTGTTAGTTCATATTCATATTTGCCCTGCTATATGTAGTAGTTTCTAAATCCATAGATTACTCCT